CCACACATCACATCATATACTGCTATAGCACACATCATCACATATACCACTATAGCACACATCATCACATATACCACTATAGCACACATCATCACATACACCACTATACCACACATCATCACATATACCACTATAGCACACACATCAAAATATACCACATAGCACACATCATCACATATACCACTATAGCACACATCATCACATACACCACTATAGCACACATCATCACATATACCACTATAGCACACATCATCACATATACCACTATAGCACACATCATCACATACACCACTATAGCAAAATCATCACATATACCACTATAGCACACATCATACATACACCACTTAGCACACATCATCAAATACACACTATAGCCACATCAAACACATACACCACTATAGCACACATCATCACATACACCACTATAGCACACATCATCAATACACCACTATAGCACACAATCATCACATAAACCACTATAGCACACATCATCACATACACCCCTATAGCACACATCATCACATACACCACTATTGCAACATCATCACATACACCACTATAGCACAAAATCATCACATACACCCCAAAAGCACACATCATCACATAAACCACTATAGCACACATCATCACATACACCACTATACACACATCATCACATAAACCACTATAGCACACATTTATCACATACACCATATAGCACACATCATCACATACACCCCTAAACACAATCATCACATACACCACTATAGCACACTCATCACATATACCACTATAGCACACATCATAAAATACACCACTATACCACATATCACATATACTGCTATACCACACATCATACATATACCACTATAGCACACATCATCACATATACCACTATAGCACACATCATCACATATACCACTATAGCACACATCATCACATACACCACTATAGCACACATCATCACATACACCACTATAGCACACATCATCACATATACCACTATAGCACACATCATCACATACACCACTATACCACATATCACATATACTGCTATAGCACACATAATCACATATACCACTAAAAGCACACATCATCACATACACCACTAAAAACACACATCACATCATACACCACTAGAGCACACATCATCGCATAAACCACTATAGCACACATCATCACATAATACACAACTTCAACACACATTTAAAAATAGCCACACTAACACACATGATATCGTTAGAAAAGGTGCATATCATGTCAAACATCACTTCACTCATTACTAAACGCTTATTAGTATATCCCACTGCGTTATAACTCACGTCACCACGTTCAACAGTACACCACCCGTAACCACATCATATAACATTGCAACATACATCACCAAATAATTCACCACTATTCCATACATCATGACATTATTCACTACTAAAAGCGTATCACCACAACATTCATCTCAACTGATACACGATTCATGACTAAAACATACACCTGTTCAACAACACTTACGTTTGATACAGTACAATATATCATATATCACAAAACATGCATCACTACAACATACACCGCAACACGTCCCCACAACATGTACCAGCTCAACATCCATTGCAACAACATTCACGACAAACATACATTATCACAACACATATCTATAAAACTTGCAAAAATACTAGACATACAAGATACATCACCACATTATACATTAAATCACATATAATTAAAAAAAATGTATGAACTCACATACCTAAAATATACAATAATACAATACACATTTGCACAGCACGCAATACATAGTTTCTGGACGTCAAGTTGTGTAAGTTATCACGTGTCACTTTCGTTAATCATTTTGGTTTCTGTGAAATAACTGAAGAATGTCTCTTCTGATCACAGTATTGGACTTTATTTTGTTATTTTAGGTTATAACTTGAAGGAGGGGTGTAAATGTTGCAGTTTAAAAACTGTAGTGTAAAGCACCCTTCTGGCAAGACAGTGATGGAGTGAATGATGGTGAAAGTTTTTCTTTTTCGGGCCACCCTGCCTTGGTGGGAATCGGCCAGTGTGATAATAAAAAAAAAATAATAACAACTTAATGTTCTGTTATGTGTCTATAACATGTGTGTGTTCTCAAGATCTTTCTTAAACATGTGTATGTTATGTTAGTAAGCTTACCTGAACCGTACTTAAAAACCGAGTAATTGTTACTTAGAGAGAAACATACTGATTTAAGCCTGAGTAGATCTCATTTCGCTTTTATGCATCAAATTGGAAAATTAAAATACTGTTTTTCATATGATAATTCCTGAGTGCTGCTCCTGATTAGCCTCTAGCCTTTTTTCCTCATAATGTGATAATGCAGTTTCTGAGTGGCTTCAGGCTTAATGTCCTTGTATACTTGAGGATATTAGTCACTTTAGTCTTTTGAAGGGTTTGAATTAAATATGGACCGTATAAGTCCTAATTTACAAATTCATTGAAGAAATTGGGATATTAATTTCCACATGATGACTTATAAATGTCTCTTTTGATTCCCTTCAAATAATCAACATTAATGTTTATCTACATTATCAAATGATGCCGCAAGCTGCAATATTCCAGTCACGTGCATTGAGGCACAAAGGACTGGCATTACTGAATACGGGGACACCTTCGACAGATAGCGCAGAGATCGAAATGATCTAGTATGTTATACGTCACATATCCATCATCCTATGAACGGTGGTGAAAGCACACTGATACATCAAAGACATGATAACTAGGCCCTAAAGAGAAGTTGATCTGTATACCTGTTGATAATATAAGGTTTATCTGGTAAAAGGCAATTTAGGATATTTACATAAATATTCCGATATCTATATATCATAAATATGATATCTTTACATATCACACATTATATTATACTTGATATCCTAAACAAATTTTTAAAGTGGTGGACTGGTAAGCCAGCGGAAGGTTTGGGTCAGATATCCAAAATCTGGAGTGGTGGGACTCGCGTCAGGAAGAGCTTGTCCAGTTTCATGACGAATATTACCTAACCTATCCTACTAGCTAACACTATATTTCTCAGCAAGTAGTTTATCAAACATATGGTGTTCAAGAGAATGACAAGAGGAAGACCGCATACTTTGCATTTATTCTGAACGTCATCTGTCCATATGCTAAACCGTCAGAATTACTGGTAACCAAGAATAAACCTGGCTATTAATACTGCATCAGTCAGTCTGCTTAAATTAAAATTTACTCTGCAAATGTGTTCTTCAGCGCTATTGTTATCATTGCGAGTTATAGATCTACTCAAACTTCTATCTCTATTCTGGCAACATTCAGATAAATCATTTTCTTCTCTACTATTAATGTTATTGCCTAACAAGGGATTTACTAAGATTCAGTTCAGTCTTTTCCATGATGGCACTGGCTTTGGCTAAGTCATCAACTTTAACATATAGGAACAATTCAATGTGATGGGATACATTTTTTTAATTTGAACCTGGGCATCTGCAATAAGCATGTTGCCACAGTTCTATGCTCTTAGTGATAACAAGGAGTCATGATAATTTTTACTAATTAACTTGGGTGTCATTATGATTGAAACTTCAGTTTGCAATGTAGAAGCCCAGGTGAAAATGCTGAAATCTAACTCAGCATGGTTAAATATCACACGATTCAAACCATACCACGGGTAGGGTTAGAACCCGCGATCAGAGTCTCAAAATTCGAGACAGACGCGTTAGCCACCCGTGGTATGGGTTGTCTGCAATCGCGTCATTACGATTTCGTGAATCACCGGATTCACCAGTTAAATATACATCACTACATTATATACAAATGCAACCAACATAGCCAATATATTCTAGTGTAACAAACACGCATCAAAACCTAAAAAAAAAATCTCATGTTACCACATTATTCACCAACCAAGTAGTCATTAGAATTAGCTATAAGAAAGAAAGAACCGTAAAAAAAAGATTGTCGTTGGTTAAGCCTAATTGCTCCTATCCCAGTGAATAATTTAATCACGATCGCAATTAAGAGTACAAATGAGGTCAGCGCCTGTATTAATGAAAGTTAGAGGAGAAGACAATTTGCTGAGAGGAACTAGTGAAGACGGATTGTGAGAGCAGCTGGAGAAGCGATTTCTGAAAGCAACTGGTTAATATATGATACTAGGAACAACTGGTAGCACTTCATTGAGAACAAATACAGTCTCCTGAGTACTAGTGATACACTTTACTGAGAACAACGGGGAAATACAGTTTACTGAGTACAACTGGTGAATACGCTTTATTGATAATTGGCAAATAAAGTTTACTGAACACAGCTAGTTAATACAATTTGCTGAGAGCAACTCGGAAGACTGCTAAGAGTAACTAAATAAGACAGTTTTCTGAGAGTAACTCTGAATAGTGTTTGCATAGATCAACTGGAAAACACTCTCCTGAACGTAACCAGTTTACTGTGAGTAACTAGAGGAGAGAATTTGATGACGAAATATAATGGGTTAATTAAAATTTAAGGTCACTGCCTCGTGAAAATTATATTTTAGAGCAGAGTATAAGAATTACTAAGCTCTTACATTAATCGTGATTATGCGAAACTGGGTTTTCTACAAACACTTCGACTTAATTTTTTTACCATGTGAACAGTGAAAAACTTTAGGCATTGTCATTGTCATTGAGTAAGAGAGACTAATGTGAATGTAGTATGATGTGTAGAAAGATGAAGATGTACTGTGACTTAGGTAATGGTATGTACAATAATGATGTCTGTGATGCTTAATGTAATGATAAGAAAGTATTAAAGGGTTTGGTCTGTAGTACAGAGTCTGTAGAGTGAAGGACGTAATTTGTAGAATAATGAAGACTATGATGATTAAGATGTGTATAGTGATGAAACAATGGAAACTTATCAGCTATGATGTATTGAATGATGAAACAATGATGACTTACCAGCTGTGATGTGTAGAGTGATGGAACGATGGTGACTTAGCAGCTATGATGTGTAGTGTGATGGAACAATGGTGACTTACCAGCTATGATGTGTAGGTGATGGAACGATGGTGACTTACCAGCTATGATGTGTAGAGTGATGGAACAATGGTGACTTACCAGCTATGATGTGTAGTGTGATGGAACAATGGTGACTTACCAGCTATGATGTGTAGAGTGATGGAACAATGGTGACTTACCAGCTATGATGTGTAGTGTGATGGAACAATGGTGACTTACCAGCTATGATGTGTAGAGTGATGGAACAATGGTGACTTACCAGCTATGATGTGTAGTGTGATGGAACAGTTGTGACTTACCAGCTATGATGTGTAGAGTGATGGAACAATGGTGACTTACCAGCTATGATGTGTAGAGTGATGGAACGATGGTGACTTACCAGCTATGATGTGTAGAGTGATGGAACAATGGTGACTTAGCAGCTATGATGTGTAGTGTGATGGAACAGTTGTCACTTACCAGCTATGATGTGTAGAGTGATGGAACGAGGGTGACTTACCAGCTATGATGTGTAGAGTGATGGAAGCGGGGTTGGCACTGGCAGGTAAGCAGGTGTAATTGCCGGAGTCAGGGCGTCGTACGCCAGCTAGCGTCAGTACGCTGCCGTCTCTTGTCTTCTTCACCGACACCTGTAACATACATCTGCCAGTGTGAGAATCACCTTCATTTGTCCACCTGACACAGGACCCAGGAGAAGTGTGAGTGTGATGTTACTCTGGTGAAGACTAGTAAGTGTGATTATTATGTTACTAATGTGAAGACTGTTAAAAGAGTTCTGTTATTCATGTGAGGACTGTTGCAAGAGGGTTATGTTACTCGTGTGTGGACTGTTGCAAGAGTGTTATGTTACTCATGTGACTGTTGCAAGAGTGAGTGTTAGGTTACTCATGTGAGGACTGTTGCAGGAGTGTTATGTTACTCATGTGAAGACTGTCTGTTGCAAGAGAGTGTGTGATGTTAGTTATTTAATGGCTATAGCTCCAGGGATAAAGCAGTATTGCATATGTAATGTTGACGTCAGTGTCAAGTAAAAGATTAAGCGAGTGTTGTATTTGTGATGAACTATTGCATGTGTGCATTGCTGTTGTACATTGTATATCTTTTAGGCGTGAAGTTGCTGCATAGCAGCACTTCAGCAGCACTTTGCATATGTAAACTGCTGTTGGTGTAACTGCTGTTGGTGTAACTGCTGTTGGTGTAACTGCTGTTGGTGTAACTGCTGTTGGTTTTGTCTGACCTTGGTATATTTTTTTGTTAAAAATAACCATTTTGTGTGATGAAAACTGTCTTAAAGACTTAAAAATTTAGGTATTAACATGATGGGCAAGTAATTTCAGAGACTGAAACTTCAGGGAAATTTTAATAATAACTTAGAAGAAAATAGAGTAACTTTTGGGAAAAGACAAAACCTTTAGAGACAAGGTGATAACACAGTTGAAAAGTTAGTAATCGGAGAGAAGGTAATTTAATATATGTAACTTAAGGGACAAGAACGTGAAAATGAGTAACTTGAGAGACAGCAACCAAAAAACAATATAGTAATTTAAAGGGTAAGGTAGTATAAAGGGTAAGGTAGTATCTTGAAGGGTAAGGTAGTATCTTGAAGGGTAAGGTAGCATCTTGAAGGGTAATGTAGCATCTTGAAGGGTAAGGTAGCATCTTGAAGGGTAAGGTAGTATCTTGAAGGGTAAGGTAGCATCTTGAAGGGTAAGGTAGTATCTTGAAGGGTAAGGTAGTATCTTGAAGGGTAAGGTAGTATCTTGAAGGGTAAGGTAGCATCTTGAAGGGTAATGTAGCATCTTGAAGGGTAAGGTAGCATCTTGAAGGGTAAGGTAGTATCTTGAAGGGTAAGGTAGCATCTTGAAGGGTAAGGTAGCATCTTGAAGGGTAAGGTAGTATCTTGAAGGGTAAGGTAGTATCTTGAAGGGTAAGGTAGCATCTTGAAGGGTAAGGTAGTATCTTGAAGGGTAAGGTAGTATCTTGAAGGGTAAGGTAGTATCTTGAAGGGTAAGGTAGCATCTTGAAGGGTAAGGTAGCATCTTGAAGGGTAAGGTAGCATCTTGAAGGGTAAGGTAGCATCTTGAAGGGTAAGGTAGCATCTTGAAGGGTAAGGTAGCATCTTGAAGGGTAAGGTAGCATCTTGAAGGGTAAGGTAGTATCTTGAAGGGTAAGGTAGCATCTTGAAGGGTAATGTAGCATCTTGAAGGGTAAGGTAGCATCTTGAAGGGTAAGGTAGTATCTTGAAGGGTAAGGTAGTATCTTGAAGGGTAAGGTAGCATCTTGAAGGGTAAGGTAGTATCTTGAAGGGTAAGGTAGTATCTTGAAGGGTAAGGTAGTATCTTGAAGGGTAAGGTAGCATCTTGAAGGGTAAGGTAGCATCTTGAAGGGTAAGGTAGCATCTTGAAGGGTAAGGTAGCATCTTGAAGGGTAAGGTAGCATCTTGAAGGGTAAGGTAGCATCTTGAAGGGTAAGGTAGCATCTTGAAGGGTAAGGTAGCATCTTGAAGGGTAAGGTAGCATATTGAAGGGTAAGGTAGCATCTTGAAGGGTAAGGTAGCATCTTAAAGGGTAAGGTAGCATATTGAAGGGTAAGGTAGTATCTTGAAGGGTATGGTAGCATCTTGAAGGGTAAGGTAGCATATTGAAGGGTAAGGTAGCATATTGAAGGGTAAGGTAGTATCTTGAAGGGCAAGATAGTATCTTGAAGGGCAAGATAGTATCTTTTAGAAAAAGTGACTTTAGGAGCAATACCCTATGGAACTAGGAAGAAGCCAGTGAGACAGTGTTTTGTTCCTTGTGGGACATTAACTAAAGTGTCAGGGTACTAACTTAGGGAACAACAATATGTATTTCAGTCGATGCATTGCCAAAGAGAAGTATCCTTGTATTGCATTATCACAGTTGCTGGTGCCATAATAAAGGCTAGTGGAAGATTGCAGTGAGGCATAAGTTCATAATGCAGTTAAACGTTTGCGCTGAAAAACTAAAAGGTATCAAAAAGGGCATTCGTAAGTCATTTTATGGAAACTATCCAAATTTCTTCAATAAAAATTGTAAATTAGGACAAACGCATCAAAGTCTAATTAAAATTCTTTCAAATAGAGGAAAGTGACAAATAGTTCAAAATATACTAGCACATCAAGCTTGAAGCTGCTCAGAAGCTTCGTTATCACTTTACGAGCAGAGAAGCTTCAAATTAATAAGAAGCGGCACTCAGAATTTATCACATGAAAATCGGTATATTCATTTTTTAAATTTCGTCAAAAGAAAAGCTAATCGGGACCTGAGCAGGAAAAAAATCATTCCAAACTTTCCTCTAAGTAAGCTTAATCAGATTTTAAGAAATGAGACGAGTTTTAAGAATGTTTGGTGGACATAAGATACCCATGTGTCTGTACCATCTGTCTGGTAACGAATTTTCAGTCGGCCTAACCAAAAGAAACCAACTTAAGTCAAACACTGTGATTTATTTCTGATCAGCGCACACATTCCTCCAGGTACTTCACAGTCACCAGTTTCATTAATAAACCCGATTCCTGAAACCTTAACCTAACCTCAGAAAAACATATGAGCGCTTAAAATGTAATGCTAACCAGTAATTGCACAGAATGCAACAAAATTTGTGCCTACGCAGCCTAAACTCCCCCCTTAGACGATCCATCTGCTTCATGGGATCCACCAGCCACTCAAGACTGATGACGTTTGCAATAGTTACATTTTATACCGAGGAAAGCGCTAAACCCGTACGGGTCGTGTAGCGGCTGTAGAATGGGAGGCGCTCAAATTCGATTCAAGCTGGAAGATAAGTCCGGTTCCTTGGATCAAGAGCTCCTCACTAGAACCAAGGAAACACTTATGAAACATTGGTAAAATAATACTACCCTATTTCACGGGTTAAAACTTGCAAAATGGCTGATCAGAGACGATTTTCTCCAGTAATGGCCGATCAGAGAAACCTTTTTCCAGTAATGGCCGATCAGAGAAACCTTTTTCCAGTATTGGCCGATCAGAGAAACCTTTTTCCAGTAATGGCCGATCAGAGGAACCTTTCTCCAGTAATGGCCGATCAGAGAAACCTTTCTCCAGTAATGGCCGATCAGAGAAACCTTTCTCCAGTAATGGCCGATCAGAGAAACCTTTCTCCAGTAATGGCCGATCAGAGAAACCTTTCTCCAGTAATGGCCGATCAGAGAAACCTTTCTCCAGTAATGGCCGATCAGAGAAACCTTTCTCCAGTAATAGCAGGGAAACAATGACTATGATAACAGCGTGTGTATAACTGCGCAGACTCAACCACACATGCAGATAACTCTATCAACTTTACCTAACATACATTACATCAATGTTCACATCGAACAGTCCGGTCTCAAGTAATATGTGAAAACTTGTGATAACCACAGGAAAATGTTGATGAACATGTTCCAAAAAATAGAAAAACCTTCACTCGTTTCAATTAAAAATCCCATAAGTTAGCTGATTTTCACTTTATTTCATTTTAACTTTCACTTTTACATTCTATTGAAATTTCTATACTGTTGTATAAGAAAAATTGTTTTTTTGTTTGTTTTTTTAAGCAAATTTTGATAAAATTGGCCAAGTAATGACAAGGTGGCAACCACACAGCATAAAATTAATCCAAAAAATTCTTTGGATTAATTTTGATCAGCTTCAAACCATTTAATGTTTGAAGCTCATTAGAAGCAACATTCATTAGTTATTACATGAAAAACAATCTGAATAATAAAATTTCCAGACTAAAATTTACATAGTACATAGCTCAGAGTGAGTGATGAACAATGGTAAAAATTTGAAGCTCATTAGAAATGGCATCAGTAATATATCATGTCCCAACGGTTCCAAGTTTTGCAATTACTGTATTTCTGTTAAATTTAAATTTACACCTATTCAGATTGACCTTTTTGGGTATTATACTTAAAATAGAATGTTTCGTGAATAATATTTCGTAGTTAATCAGAAAGAAAACATTCGTTAGTAATTGAATAAGAATGAATATCATTATTCAAAAAAAATTTGCAAATTGGGACTAATGTCGCCCAGTGGCAGACTAATCCTTGGGTTCAGTAAACCAATCCATTAGTTAAAAATTGAAGCCAATCAGATGAATCGTTTACCATTTATGAAAAAGATTCCAAGGATTGTTAGGTAAGATACATATGCAACAGTTAGGTATCTTTATTTCGAAACGTTTCGCCTACACAGTAGGCTTCTTCAGTCGAGTACAGAAAAGTTGATAGAAGCAGAAGATACTTGAAGACGATGTAATCAGTCCATCACCCTTAAAGTTTTGAGGTGGTTGCATATGTGTCTTACCTAACAACCTGTCGGTATTTTATACCATTTTAATGTTCATTCCAAGGATTCCAACTTTTCATTACATAGTAACTTTTCTTCAAACAATACGCCAGCATGTAAACTTAACGCATCCTATCCTGACTCTAAGATGTATCCCACGTTAAATATTGAAGTTGTTCAGAACAGGTAAACTATTTTAATTTTACTGGGAATAAAATTTGAGACTATTATGGACAAAAAATCATCACATCTGCAACTGCACATGTAAATTTCACTCTCCACTATCGCCATATTTTTTTTTTTTATGCTGGAAGCTC